CAATAATTAATAATAAATGATTAATAATATTCTGGAAAGTTCCATGATATTCCGGGAGGTTCCGGGGTGTTCCACAAAATTCCAATAAGTTCCGAGATGTTTTACAGTATTCTGGGGTATTCCAAAATGTTCCAGAGTTTCCGGTCACATGGCATGTGGCGCAGTAAAAGCAGAAAAATTGTTCCAGTTAGCCTTCAAGTTATGATTAGAATTGGTACATCTGCTTTCCAAATATAACTTGATGTATGGCAAGCGGAGTAGTGTTAGAGGTGATAAGTAATAAATACTTTTTTGCACAAAGGTATTGTAGCCACTTTATACAGGTTTGTCTCCAAGTCACAAAAAGAATTTGGCATACCTATGCTTCAAGTGTGGCAGAAGTGTCTTATATGTGGAGTTCATATTGGTTTTCTTAGTGATACCGGAACTTAACCTTGTATAATAGATCTATATTGTCGGAGGAATAAGCGAAAAACTTTTATTATTATTACCAGCTCGTGTTGCAGGAGTAACTAGAATCCCTAATTGTCACGTATTACCCTACTAAGTTCCTCAATTACCAGCATAACACTTGCAACTAACCTAGCTTATTGTTAACTATATTTGTATTGGCTGTTATTTTATTCTAAATACTGTAAGACGCAATTCCTTGGATATTTTCAGATAATAATAGTTGTACAAAGATTTCTTGGACGTATTTAGTCTAATTGCCAATCAGTAGACAATGCCAGATTTGATAATAATAGTTATGTTAATCTTTTGTAGAGTAAGTCATTTGTCCTTTTTCTGAGGAACCATGGAAAAAAAAAAAATTTTAAAGCTCATATCTTGAGAAAGATTATTGCTTCTTAATATGGTCCTTGAGAAAAGGGGATTAATTGGCCAGAGAAATGATGTTATGGAGATGGAGTTTTTAAAAGAAAGAGAGACCTATAGAGAAAAACCTTCAAGAAAAAGGAAAAAACTAGCTTTAGCAGAAAGAAAAAAGAGAAAAGAGAAGGAGAATGTAAAAAATAAAAAAAAAGTATATAGAAAAGAGAAGAGAGAATAGGAAGTGAAAAATAAAGAAGTGAAAGAGAAAGCATAGGAAGAAAGGAAGAAGAAAAATAAAAAAAAAGAGCAGACAACTCAAAAATTTTCTAAAAAAAAAATTTTCAAGTATAGAAAGAGGAGTGGGAAAGAGTTTTTTTTTTTTTTATCATTAAACTTTTATTTATTATTATTATATTAATAATTTTTATATAAAAATTTAAAAAATTTTTTTAAAAAATAATAATAAACAATAGTTAATTTTTAATTATATTATTAACTCTATATATATGTTTAATAAATATTGATAATAAAATAATATTTAAATTTTAAATTATAATTTAAATTTATACAATTGTATAATTAATGTAAATATAAATAAATATTAATAGGCTTGTCTATATTAATGATTTAAATATTAATAAGAATAAAATAATTAAATTTTTTTATAAAGTTAAAAAATTAAGTAAAATGAAAAGACAATTTTCTAATTAATAATAAATAAAATAAAATTATTTATAATTATATATATTTCTAATATATTGATTAGTAGTTTAAACTTTTAACAAATCAAATTTTTATATAATTAGTATTGCCAATTAGCTTTTTATTTTTAACAACTTTTGTTTATATTTGATTAACTTGATATATAATTATTAATTATAAAAAAATATATTTAAAATTTTAAGATTTATTATATATAAAATTAGACTTTTCTAAATTAAACTTTATAAAAAAATTATATTTTTAATTATAATTATAATTAAAAACTATTTAATTTAATATTGATCAAATAAATATTTATTTTATCAGATTTATATTCAATTCATATATATACAATGTATTTTTTATTTATTTATTTATTTAAAGTTAAAATTTAAAAATTGAAATTGAAAATTTAATAAAATAGATAAGAGTTTGTTTTTTTTATAAAATTTTTTGAAAATAGTTTGACAAAAAAATTAGTAAAAACATTATACAGTTTTTATTTATTATATAAATTTTTTGTTTCTAACTTAATAAAAATTTATGTAATATTTTATAAAGTAAGTGTAATAAATTTTTTAAATAAAAAATATTATAAATAATAATAATAAGATTTACTGTTAATAAGACAATATATTTTTATTATTTTTATTTAATTTCAAATTTCAAATTTTTATAATATTAAAAAAGTATTGATAATCAATCAATTAAAAATAATATTTAAATTTACTTTTATATTAGATTTTTATTAGACGGTTTTATTTTTAAAATTAATTAATTAATTAAGATAAAAAATCTATATAATATGTAATTTTATTATATGACACTATAAGCACAATGGAACGAACATTTTGTTTGGAGTTTATTAATATAATATTAAGAATATAAATAAATAAATATTTTTGAAGAAATATAATCAACCTCTTACAGCGCCGATGATAATATCAATAACCAAATATAAATCTAAGGAAATTATTGTAAAGCTAACAATACAGGCGGTAATTATAAGTAAGTAAGAATTCGAAAATTCTATATATCTTTTGTCATCAGAAATGTCATCATTTTTACTACTGTTTGGCGTAGATTTTTGACTCAGCAAGTCGGAATAAAATGGACCAGATAGTTTCTTATTAGTAATTGTTTTTTCACCAAGTTGATTTTCGATTCCTTCAGCATCATTCATCACTTCTTCACCTTGCAACTCCCTCTTTATCAATTCTCTAACATCAACTCTCATAAATTCTTTACGACTAGTAAACCACACCAAAGGAACTACAGCAAATGGTAATTGTATGCTCAGTGCTACCTGACTTCCCACCAATAGATCATTTAATCCAGATGCACCTTTCCATATCACAATTATCATTGCCGGGACAATGGCTATTAATCTCGTCACCAACCTTCTCACCCAAGGTTTTAATTTCATATCGGTAAACCCCTCCATCACAATTTGACCCGCAATTGTAGCTGTGAGTGTTGAACTTTGTCCGGCGAACAATAATGCTATAGCAAATATTGTTGAAGCCGCTCTTCCCAGATAAGATGTCAGTAGATTGTACGCATCGTATAAGCCTGCCACTAATGGCTGTGATGAGACGTAATAGAAATTTGCGGCCGACACTATCAGAATTGCAGAATTCACAAACAATGCAAATGTTAATGCTACAATCGAATCGACTACAGAAAAGTATATTGTGCTCTGGGTGATTCTCTTGAAAAAATCCTTTAAAGTGTCGCCATTTTCAAGAAATCCAATATGCTTATGACACTTAATCTCTCGACTTTCTTCCCGAAATTTCCGAGCCTTTACAAGATGTGAATGCAAGTATATGCAATGCGGCATTACTGTAGCACCCACAATCGACACTTTTGAGTATTATATTTAAAAGAAGGTGAGTTAAGGGACTCAAAAAAGTTTTGGAAGTCAAAAAGTAAGGTAAATTTTTCTCATACCCGCAATATATAATTCTTCTCTGTTTGTGAATATGCCGGCACTAGGCAAGTAACCTTTTAACACGTCCACACTATTAGGTTTAGCGTATACCAATTCTAAAACAAAGCATAACCCAACTGCACCAACTAATAACATCACTAATGATTCTAATATATGTGCAGATTTCATATCATTATCTCGATATAAAAATAATATTATTATTACATCAACCGCTGTGATAGCAACTCCCCACGGAAGCGGAATATCAATTAGAAGATTCAGTGCAATCGCGCTACCAATAACCTCAGCCAAGTCACAGGCTATTATGGCAAGTTCGCAGAGCACGTAAAGGAAGTAATTTACGTATTTTGAGTAATAAGCCCGACAAGCTTGTGCCAAGTCTAATAATAATGATGGATCAACAACCATGGAAAAAAGTTTACACAAAAAATCCAGATAATTTTACTCACCCATTCCTGTAACCACGCCTAACTTGACTGACAGTGATTGCAACAACATTGCCATCAGATTGGAGCAAAAGATCACAAACAACAGCGAATACCCGAACCGCGATCCAGCAGATAGATCGGTTGCCCAATTTCCGGGATCGAGATATCCCACCGCAATGACTTGAATATATCGGAAAATCTGATATTAGAAATTACTCGCTGCGCCGTTAAAAAAAAAAAAAAAAAAATTTATAGTTGAATTTACCGTAACCAGGACCGATGAATCCAATAAACTTTTTAAAATCGGATGAAAATTTGAAGAGTTTATGTTTCATGCTTGTGTCTTTCTTACTTTTTTCGGAATTATTATTATCTTGAGTCGAAGTTACTCCTAATGTATTTTCTTCCAAAGGAGCTTTGTCGAAAAGTTTGTTTTTCATTTTTTCCGAATTTTGTTGCTGTTTTGCTAGTGACGAAGAGGCAATTTGGTCGTTTTCCGAAAGTGGGTTGTCGAGAGGATTCATTTTCGAAGACGTATTCGGAAATTAAAGAAAAAAAATTTTTTTTTTTTACCTATTTATCAAAAAAAGCCTCTTTAGAAATTCTATGTAATCGTGGAAGTGGTACATACAAAAACTGGTTTCTGCATAGTTTACTCTATAGAAACGATATTCAATGTCTACCATTATTGTTATTATTAATACTGAAATAGTATATTAAAATTACTAATCCAGCTAACAAACAATTATTATGGATTACTGAAACCATTTTATTGTATAACCCAAAATTGGTCTCGGGAAAATGATTTTTGGCAGGTTTCCATTTCTTAAAAGCAAGTATCATCTATTATTATTACCATTAATGATAAAATATTAATTCAGAATTGTCATTTGATGTCAATATGAATTTATAATTATCTTGTGATAAATAAATCTTATTCTTATAACATAAATAAAATTATTATCATTATAACTTTAAAATATTTTTTTATTAATACCATAAATGCAATGTTTTATAAATGCGTATATCATACGAGATTTCTTTAAATACGTAAAGCATACCCGTTCCAAGTTTATATAAATTATATAAAATCTTTTTTCTATAAATGTACAATTTCTTTAAATATCATGGTTTTCAATATCTATGCAATTAAAAGAAGTTGACCATATAATCAAATAGTTATATAAATATATAATTTTATTGTTTTTATTAATTTATGTTAATTTGTTTTTTTTCAATAAAATTTAATAAATTTTATACATATATATACAGTATATATTTTTGCAAAAGATATTAAACATGTGACTTTATTTAAATTAAAAGAATATTTAATTACAGATACAATATTTATTTATTTTAAAAATCGATACCTTTAAAAAATTTTAATAGTATAATATATTTATTTATTTTGAAAAATTATTGGTTAATTTTTTAACAATGATACAGTATATCAAAAGCTTTTTAAAAAAAATTTTTTTTAAAAACAAATGTACTGCTATAAAAATTTAAAAATCTTTTTATAAATTATTTATTAAATAATTATTTTGAATAAAATTATTCTTACAAATTTTATAATTCTATTTTGAAATAATAAAAAGTATATATGGTATTTATTTTTTATTTTTTAAAAATTACAATATGTTAATAAATAAATAATCAACATGTTTAAAATTTATTTTTACAAATTATTTCTTTTGTAATAAAATTCCATATACAGTAGATCATAATTTAATTATTTGCATATGAATTATACAATAAACTATTTCTGTTCTTTTTGATCATTAAATGAAAATAAAATAAATAAATAAAAAACAAAGCTTTTCTCGTTGATAAATACAATATTTATTTGATATAATAATATAATTTTTAGTGCGCTATATAATAATACTTTGATTTTATAATAGAAAAAGACTTGGCAAATGATTTTAGAGAAATGCAAGGTGAATCTAATTGCATGATATTCTGATATTCTCGAAAAGAAATAATAACATAAGAACTAATTTATTAAATAAAAATACAAATTATTATGTACAATCAATCCACACGACCTGCATATGGACTGTGAACAAAAGCTAAAAAATCGTTCAAGTTTCATTAATAATCAATAAACAATATTGCTTATTGTTGTTCTTCATTAGCCCAGTCTCCGTATTCGTCCTCTTCTTCTTCATCATCGCCTAACAGGGCAACATAGTTCTCCGGAACTAAGCCGGTTTCATCTCCCAAGTCGGCAATTAACCAACCTGCACATTGTCGATCTTGAATTAATAGAATATCACCTTCTTGAAAGCTTAATTCAGTTGGATTCTCTGCTTGAAAATCGTAAAGTGCTCGAGCTCGACGGTTGGTATATTCGTTCGTCTCGGCTTCCTCATCTTCTTCATCAGAAGATGGATAAGGGTGTCCCCAATGACGAGAATCATCTATAGGAAATCCAAAATCTCTAATTTTAATATCCATGTTTAGAGGATTATTTTCGACTAACAATTCAAAAAAAAAATTTTTTTTATTAATATAATGGAAAGAAAGATTTTTAAAACGAACATTATGATATTTACCTTCCAAGGACTTCGGGAGAGGTAATATTGTGTTTAGAATAAAATTTATTGAAGCAATAACAAA